GGACCACCAGATGGCACTCCAAGACTGTGTCATTAGAGCACTTTGAGCTCCCATTGACTTGTATTGCAAACAATAAAGCTGAATCAATTAAACAGTATAAACGGTATAAAAAAAAAAATACAAGCGGGGATGTCCTTGAAGGGTTGAATAGATATATACCTCAATGGACGGTATAGCTGAAAGTATGCTGGACTTATAAAGTGCCAAAAAATGGTGGAAGATCCCAAAACAATAACTAGAAAATGCGAATGGATACTGAGTGCTGAAAAATCGCCCTGAAAATGCTGAACATTTTGACACACATTTTGCTAGCTTAAAGTATGCTGAAGTTGGAATTTCCCCATTTATTTGAATGGGGTAAGATTTTCAAAATAAAGCTAAATATTTCAAAAGTATGAAATTTACAAAAGTTCTGAATAGAAGCATGAATGTCCTTGAAGACCTGAACATTTTGATACCTGATATAGCTGAAAGTATGCTGAAGTAGAATTTCCCCATTCATTTGAATGGGGCAAGATTTTCAAAATAAAGCTAAATATTTCAAAAGTATGAAATTTACAAAAGTTCTGAATAGAAGCATGAATGTCCTTGAAGACCTGAACATTTTGATACCTGATATAGCTGAAAGTATGCTGAAGTAGAATTTCCCCATTCATTTGAATGGGGCAAGATTTTCAAAATAAAGCTAAATATTTAAAAAGTATGAAGTTTAGAAAAATTCTGAATAGATGCCCGCATGTCCTTGAAGAGCTGAACATCTTGATAGCTGAAATAGCTGAAAGTGTGCTGAAGAAGAATTTTCCCATTCATTTGAACGGGGCAAAATTTTGACAGCCGTTTTCAAGTCCGGCCACAAATTTTCTATTGGGATGAGGTCTGGGCCTTGACTCGGCCACTCCAGAACACTCACCTTGTTGTCTTCAAACCATTTCTGTGTAACTTTCGCTGTTTGCTTCAGGTCATTGTCTTACTGGAAAATGAATCTTCTCCCAAGCCGTAGATCTCTTTCAGAGTCATCTGACTAAAGAACTTTCTTCTACCCGACCACAGAGTCTCCCACATGCCTTTTGGTGAACTCTAGTCAAGATTGCATACGAGTTTTCTTCAACACTGGCTTTCTCTTTGCCACTCTCCCATAAAGCTTTGACTGGTGAAGAACCCAGCCAACAGTTGTTGTATGCAGAGTCTCTCCCATCTCAGCTGCTGAAGCTTGTAACTCCTTCAGAGTAGTCATAGGTGTCTTGGTGGCCTCTCTCACTAGTCTCCTTGCACAGTCACTCAGTTTGTGAGAACGGCCTGATCTAGGCAGATTTAGTCATGTCTCACAGTCCTTCCATTTCTTGATGATGGATTTAATTAAACTCCAGGGGATGTTCAGTGCCTTGGAAAGGTTTTTGTATTCATCCCCTCACTTATACTTTTCAATAATCTTTTCTCTGAGTTGCTTGGAGTGTTCTTTTGTCTTCATGGTGTAATGGTAGCCAGGAATACTGATTAACCCAGGGGTGGCCAATTCCAGTCCTCAAGGGCCGCTGTCCTGCTTGTTTTCCAACTATCTCTGCCTGACTTGCTGCTGATTACCTGGCTCAGCTGTGTTCAGCCAGTCAGAAGCTGGAAGATACCATCTTAGATGAAAGTTGAGTGAGGAAAGATAAAGTGAATTGGTATCTTCCAATCACTTATTTCCCATTATATATTTTTATGTAATTTACATTACTTTGTAGAAACCTGCTTTCACTTTGACATTAAAAAGGTTTTTTGAAACTTTTTGTCAAAAAAGGCAAATTATATTGACCATGACTGAGTTATAAAATCAGTAAAAGGGTAAAACATCCAGGGGGGTGAAGACTTTTTATGGGCATTGTAAATACAATATATATGTTTCTGACTTAAAACTCAACTGGTATTATGACAGAGTGTGGATACTGGCTGCATACATGGTTTCTGTGTGTATGCCTGTGATGACAAGCTTTGAGGTCTTTACCTGTTTGAGGAAAGCCTCCAGTGCATAGTAACTCGTCTTCTTCATCTCACCATTGATGTGTCCGCAGAGCTTCGACATGACCTCGAACAAAGTTCTGTAGTGGTCCATAAGGCAGCTGCTGAACTGGGATGCATGTCTGGCAAATAATCTAAGCCCAGCTGTTTAAAAACAAAATTAAAAATCAAGTATATTACTATTCAAGCAGTTTTGTCTTCACTTTAGCATGATAGGACAATGGCAGCCCTTACCAACTGTGACAGCGTAGCGACTCATTTCCATCTACAACAAAAATGGAAAACTTAGCCATTACAGGAGTCGTGTTACACAGTACATATGACAGCTAATGTAAAATGTAGCGACAGAGCCGTTCAGCATACAATGATACAGTGTACACAAAAATAAGGCTCAATACGATAACGTGCTGCATAAACACAACTTTCAGATATGCCTTTTATACCATCTGATTACAATCCGGATTCTACACTATCGTGCTCTCAGCAGAGTCCTTACAAGTCTTACTCACTATGTTAGCAGCATGTTTTTAGCTGTGAAACCTGGACTGAGTCCATTTCATTGGGATTCAACAGTGATCATAAATGCACAAACAAGATCTAAAGGAGCGTTTGTCAGACAATGGCCTTTACCTGCGGACTGATTGCCTTCAGGGCATACTGAAAAATCTCCTTAGACATTGCTGGGTCTGCAAGTGAGAGACAAGAACACTAGTGGTGAAACCTTAGAAAAGGAACTGGGAATTGTTGTTGTCAATGAGAAATGAACAGGTAGGGCCAGGATTTTGGACCACATCCTACTTCCTTCCATGGTTTTAGTGAAGTTAACCATTAGGGCAGTGATTCCTCTCAAACATCCAGCAGCAACTAAAAGCTTTGGTTCTCTTGTTGAAGAGGTCATCTGAAAAAAAGACACAAAAAAGCATTGAAAACCATTATTAACACACACAAACCTGAAGGATAAGGCCGAAAACTCAAACACACACAGCTTAATTTGCTGGACTCAGTCATCTCTGTGAACTCAGAACCTGAGTTAAGTTATTCATCTGTACAGACCAAGAAGCTAGACCAGGTCTGGATTCAAACAATATGGTGAGTACACCAAATTCCTTGTTGGTTTTGGTCTCCGTATGGGGTCAGTACGGAACCGCTGGCCTTTTAACCAGTTGTTTCTGATGGCTGTATTTCTCATGATGTGCTCGCAAAGCAGGTCACAGTCAGAAAAATCTAACAATTCTTACACAGTCCAGTGATTTAGCCCAAACCCTTGGCATCAGCTGTGTACTATAGAGAACTACAGATTCATGTCATCTGTAATACAAACCTGCTCCTTTAGCTCCCCTAGATAGGCTCTGTAGAGTTTGTCAGAGTTGGTGACCATCTCACTAGGGTGAGCCTCTGCAAGAATCCCCAGCAGCTCGTAGATTTTACCAAGTACTATTACAAAATAAATGAATAAATGTGTCAGGGATTCACATGTTCATTGCCTGATTAAGGTCACTGTTTATAATGTTAAACAAAGCTTGGCATTAAATAAACACTCACCAGAATCTGGTAGTTTGCTCTTGTCACAAAGCTCGCCATAATATCTGTTGAATATTTCACCAATTCTGAAGTCTGCAACAACACTGGAGGCCTTTGTTATTTGGAGAACCTGTCAAGAGCATTTAACAAAAAAAAAGCCTCAGCCAACACGTACAAACGACTACTCCTAACGTTCTGGAGTAACTTCAACATTTGTAATGTCATGTTGTAAAAGTCTGTATTGAGAGATCTCCCTGGTCAACAAAATGGATGAAATTCTTCTCGTCAACAGGACTAACTCTGACTTTGCATGCTCTGCTGCTTTGTGCTTCACTGAGGACTGGCTTAGTGAGTCCATCGCAGACAGCACGATTCAAGTACCGGGCTTCCAGGTGTACAGAGCGGACTGTGTAAAGAAGCTGCCCGGGAAAACAAGAGGAGGTGGAATCTGCTTCTACATAAATGAATATTGGTGAACAGATGTCACAGTGCTACAGAGGACATGTACCGCAGACCTAGAGACTCTTGTTATTAATTGCAAACCCTTTTACTCTCCCTGTGAATTCAAAAGTTTCATGCTAATGGGAGTGTACATAACACCGCAGGCTAACGCTAGCACACTACAGCTCCTAGCCCAATTGATAACTAGCCTGGAGCTAGAACATCCCAACTCTCCACTCACTGTTCGAGGGGACTTTAACAGAACAAATCTCACCCACAAACTGCCCAAATACAGACAACACGTTGCCTGTCCCACCAAGGACAAAAATCACAGTGGACCACTGCTACACAACAATAAAAGACACCTACCACTCTGTCCCCCGTGCAGCCCTCGGACCCTCAGATCACTGTATGGTCCATCTAATTCCAACCTACAGGCAGAAACTTAAAGCTGTGAAGCCTGTGGTCAAAACAGTGAAGAGCTGGACTGAGGAGGCTAAGTCAGAGCTACAGGCCTGTGTTAGATGTTAGTAATTATTAGACAATGTGTTAGACTTTAACGTGTTAGTAATGCACTTTAGTAAGATTCGAAGTCTGCTCTAGTCTGCTTTGCTTCAAGGTTAGAAGACAGTGTTGATTCTGAAATGTGAGCTACAGTTACCATGACACCAATTGTTTTCTTGTATTAAATCTTGTGTTAGAATTATGTCTGAATGAATGTTTTAGTTATACACCATGTGACAACACACACACATTGAAATTCCTCATTTTGTTATGACCAGCTGCTCCAAGCCTGTGGAGCTCTAGATGAAAGATTGAGTCTGCGGACTGACTTCATCTGTGTAAGGGGTTAGCCCAAAAACTGATAAATGTATCAGGCTCCCTCTTCTGGGGCGGCTCTCTCCAGCAGCACAGTGTGTGTCTCTGGAGGAAGGAGCCACCCAGGTTGTGTTTTATAGCTTTACTTGTGGTTTAAATCAGCACTAAAAAGAAGGAAGATGGACTTCTTCCTTACTCAGGTCTGTCCAATAAAAGAACTGGGGTACAACACCTGCTTTGACTGCACAGGAGTCGGAGTGTATTTGAGACTGCAGCTACAGACCTGGACAAACTCATTGACACTAGGACATCTTGTATCAGCTTCTGTGAGGATGTGTGTGTGCCCAAAAAATGTCCTTCTGAACATACAACAACAACAAGCCCTGGTTTACAGCAAGACTCAAGCAGCTTTGTCGTGCCAAAGAGGAGGCTTACAGAAGTGGGGACAGGACTCCATACAGCCAGGCAAGGAGATCAGAGCAGCAAAGAGGAGCTACTCTGAAAAGCTGACAGCTCAGGTTTCAGCCAATTACCCCTTGTCTGTGTGGGGGAGCCTGAAAACCATCACTGGCTATAGAAAACCATCCCCCCCTGCTATGGAGGACCGTCAACTAGCAGACAATCTGAATGTGTCCTACTGCAGGTTTGACAATCAACACTCCCACCTCACCCTCCCCACCTCAGACCCAGTAGCTGCTCCCCTGACAATCACCGCCCTTCCCTCCAGCCCCCGACCACTAACGATCTGTGAAAAGGATGTGCATGGCCTCTTTAAAAGACAAAAGATCAGAAAGGCACCAGGCCCAGATGGTCTGACCCCCCTCCTGCTTGAAAGTGTGCACTGATCAGCTGGCCCCCCATCTTCACACTTATCTTCAACAGGTCACTGGAGCCATGTGAAGTCCCCTCCTGTTTCAAATGCTCCACCATCATTCCAGTCCCCAAGAAAACCTCCATCAGTGGGCTGAACAACTACAGACCTGTCGCCCTGACATCTGTAGTTATGAAGTCCTTTGAAAGACTGGTGTTGGCCCACCTGAAGGACATCGTAGACCCCCTGCTAGACCCCCTGCAGTTTGCCTACCGGGCAAACAGGTCAGTGGACAATGCAGTGAACATGGCACTCCATTGCATCCTGCAACATGCAACACCTCGACTCCCCAGGGACCTATGCACTGGCCCTCTTTGTGGACTTCAGCTTGGCAATCAACACCATTATCCCAGACATCCTCCACTCCAAACTGACCCAGCTCACTGTGCCTGCCCCCACCTGTCAGTGGATTACGAGCTTTCTGACAGACAGGAAGCAGCAGGTGAGGCTGGGAAAACCACATCCAGCACCCGGACAATAAGCACAGGTGCCCCCTAGGGATGTGTGTTCTCACCTCTGCTGTTTTCATTCTACACCAACAACTGCATCTCGAAGGACCCCTCTGTCAAGCTCCTAAAGTTTGCTGATGATACAACGGTCATTGGTCTCATCGAAATGGTGACGAGTCAGCCTACAAACGGGAGGTTGAGCAGCTGGTCCTGTGGTGTAGCCGCAACAATCTGGAGCTGAGCATGC